GTGTGTCTCCTTTTTCTTTTTTTTTTCTGAGACAGGTTTTCTCTGTGTAGCTTTGGAGCCTGTCCTGGAACTCACAGAGATCTACCTGCCTCTTCCTCCCAAGTGCTGGGACTAAAGGTGTGTGCCACCACTACCCGTGTCTCTCTGTCTCTCTGTCTCTCTCCATCTCTCTCTCTCTCTCTCTCTCTCTCTCTCTCTCTCTCTGACTGTGATATTGTTGTGCCCAAATTATGAACCCCCAAATCACCAAGAGGCCCATCTCCATACAAAATCTCTCTCATTCCTTTCTTTCCTTAGTAAAGAATGTTTCAAATGCTTACTTTTTAATTAATCTTTTGAGAATTCCCCACACGAGTATTATACATTTACAACCTTTCCAACCCTCCGTCTTTCTCCTCCAACTCCTCCCATGCCTCCCCAACTTCCTCTCAAATTCAGGACCTCCTTTTCTTTAATTATTGTGGCACACGTGCAAGCACACACACAGGAAACCTACAGAATCCATTTAGAGTCGCTCACATGTGTATGTGTTGAGGGCTGGCCACCTGGGACTGGGTCACCTGTAATGGAGCTAAGCCCTAGAGAAAACTCACTCTTCCTCTTTCAGCAGCCACTGTTTGCCTGTAGCTCTTCATCTTGCACAATTCCCCCCAGCCGAATTGGCATGCCAACTGGTGCTGTCATTATGCAAGTCTTGTTCCGGCGACCCCACTGTTGCGGCATCATGGGTGCACCTTCCCTGTCATGTCTAGAAGATACCATGTCGAGGCCGATGCCCTAGTCCTCTTCCTTACAATCTTTATGCCCTATCTTCTTTGATGTTCCCTGAACCTTAAATGTAGTGTTGCATTGTAGGTGGATGGGCTGGAGATGGGCCATCCATAATTAGCTGTCGTCTGCCTTTTGAGAGGTGTACATGTCTGCCATGGTCTCCATCTGCTGCAAAAAGGGCTTTCTTTGGTGAGGGATCAGAACTATATTTATCAGGCTGGCCTGGGGTCATGCACAGTCTGCATGACCCAGTGTGAGCACAGCAAGAGTGGATGAGGTCCTACAAACTCTCCGGGCTGGGCTGGAGCATAGGCTGCATGACCCACCCTAGTCCTGGGACTCAGATGCCTCGGTCATTTCTGTGAGGATTGTGGAGATCATTCTGCTTAGATCCTTTCAGGTGTGAGTGTCCTCACCATCTGAAGCAGCTCACTGGAGATATCACACCACCTGGAGGCCCCTGGAGGCTGGTCTATAACCTGAGCTGCCTGTTAACTGTTTACAAACTGTTGACTTCTCCACCATTAAATGGAAGGACATGAAACAAATGACACGCCCGCAGCATGAAGCGAGCCAGATTCTTTCATTCATATGTGGATATCATTCAGCTCGTTGCTTTGTGAGGAGATAGGAAGCCTTGTAGGTAGGAGGCTGTCCTTAAGCTAGTGACTGCCAGGAGCAAAATTCTAACAGAAAATTTGCCTAGCAGTAAAAGTGGCTATTATGAAAGATTTGCCACTCCAAGTAGCTGTCAGAGGAGGATTCTCTGAAACACAGTGGTGTATGTTTGGGGGTAGAAGGGCATCACTATGGAGACACAAGCCTATTGCAGACTGCCGGGTGAGGCAGAGGAAAGGTCTTAGGAGTAAAATGAATGGGGATGTACAAGATATTTACAAAGATAGCAATGGTGGCATCTTGTCCATATTAACTGTTCTGAGGAGACCCTTACAGACATAGTCCCGGCAAGTTTTAGTGGCTGCTGGGTAAGGCTATGGTTCTGACAGAAACCGTGTGCTCATTCCTATATATATGTGAACACAGGCCTTCCCCACTCTATGTTCATATGTGCACATGCTCATCCCTCCCCCACTCTATGTTCATATGTGCACATGCTCATCCCTCCCCCACTCTATTTACTTATTTTTTTAGGTAGGGCTTGGCAAAAGTGGCCCCACTTTAACTCTGATACTGTGTCAGTTATTAGTCTCCTTCATGTGACAAACACAAGATGAAAGGGAGGGTTTATGCTGGTCACAGTTTGCGGGTGCAGGCCGTCATGACAGGGAAGGCATGGTGGGGGGCGGGCGCGTGAGGCACCTGGTCGCATTGCGTCCACAGTCATGCTGTGGAGAGGTGAATGTTGAAGCTCAGCCTGCCTTCTCTTCTTTAGTCAGCTCATGACCTTAGCCCGTGGAAGCTGAATTCAAAGGGAGTGGGATAATGTGTTTGGTGGGAGAGTTTTTGAGAGGAAAACATCTAGCTGTGGGTTGGCTGCTGCCCAGAAAGTGGAGCAACAAGAGCAGCACAAAGTGGAAAAAGATGCCATTCGCTACAAACAGGAGGTTTCAACAAACCTCTAGACATGTCTGTAGGAGGCTCCTGGTGCACACGGCCTCTGGAGGGCAGGGGTGGATCCTAGGAGCCCAGCTCTGGTCTTCTCCTTTGCTTCCAACTCTGAGGCTGGAAGATGCACCCTGAATACAGGTCTGCCCTGAAGTGTCTATGTACTATGAGAGGCATCCCATGGCCTGGCAAAGGGGCAGAGGTTCCACACTTTCCCAAGTGCACACGCACTGATAACAGTTGCAACACTATTTGGCCTTTACATTTATTACATCTTTTCATTTTTGTATCAATCATTTTTTTAATAAAGCAGAGTTTTGGCATTTTACCTTTTCTGGTTGAAGATAATGAATGCAATGCCAATGTTTACTACCAAGTCAACCACTTCTGAGAGCATCTCTCCTAACCTCTGTGCTGAAGTAGACACGAACTGAGCCATCTTTAATAAAGTCGCACAATCTGCTCCATAAAAAAACATGAAAACTCTTGAGGATTTGAAGAAACATCCCAGGGAGAGGAACCTCCTAGGTGCTGGGGTGCCAGGGAGAGCCATGCAGTTTCTAGCCCCTGGGGATGGAAGCCAAGGGGAGGAGTGGCCAAGTGGGGAGCTGGTAGCAAGCTGATGGGGTGGAAGCCAGAGCTAGAAGGGAAGGAGAGAAAAGGACCATGGCTGGGATCCTAGGATCTTTGCCTACTCCCTAGGGGTCGGGTGTGTAGCCAGTGAATATTTGCCTCTTCTATGGAGAGGAGACTGTATTTCCTCATACAGTTTTCCTGAGGAAAAGGGGTTATAAACATACCTGCAGGCTCATCCCACCCCCACAATGCCCTGGTCATAAGTTAGTCCTGTTTTCTATTCCTGTCGTGGTAAAAATACAGATTGGCACCACAAGTGTCTTGGGTGGAATTGATGTCTATGAACATGGTTAAGGAAACAGCCCATTGCTGTGGCTGGCACTGGTTGTGCCGTTGCTGCCAGCCATGGCTCATATTCCTGCTCGCACTGATACAAGGAATGCAATGTGCTGTTCAGCTGAGCATAGCTTTCTTAATCCCTGCCAGTTATTAACCATACCAATCTTGTTTATTCTTTAGGTTTTGCCTTGTGGCTAGCAGGCATGGTGATAAATATCCATTCAGACCACATCCTGAGGAATCTGAGAAAACCCGGGGAAACAGGATACAAGATCCCCAGGGGTACGTACTGAGAGGGACCCTTCTGCAGAGTCACTTTGCGTGTGGCCACCCGACCTTCATTTCTCAGCTCTGCACAGTATTTAGTGACTGAACATTTTCCATATGAGCCATGGTTAGGACTGTCCTCTTACAGAGGCCCAGGTCTGGCTTTGGGGGAGATGATTAAGCAGTGGAAGGTGTCTGTGTTTGGAGGTGGGATGAGAGGATTTACAGGATACAGGACCCTGCAGGCCTTAATGTCCAACATTGTGACAGAATGGCTTCTTTCATGGAATCTCTCTCTTGAAAACTATATAAAATACTGTATGGGATTTTTTTTTAGAAAAACGTTTAAAAATACATTATTGTGTTGCCCCATAATCTCATAGGGAGGGGCACCATTAGGAGAGGTGACTTTGTTGGAGTGGGTATGACCTTGTTGGAGGAAGTGTGTCAATGTGGGGTTGGACTTTGAGGTCTCCGATGCTCAGGATATCACCCAGTATCCCAGTCAACTTCCTGTTGCCTGCATGTCTGCAAGATGTAGGACCTGTTATTCCTGCAGCACCAGGACTGCCTGCACACCACCATGCTCCCCACCATGATGATACTGGACTGAGCCTCCAAAACTGTAAGCGAGCCGTCCCAATTAATTGTTTTCCTTGTAAGAGCTGCCATGGTCATGGTGTCTGCCGCAGCAGTAGAAACCCTGACTAAGAATGATGTGAGCTTCCAGGAAAATCCCATCATCGGGAGACAGTCTGAGTGTGGACTGGAGTCCAGAGGGCACTGTGTGACAGTGTGTGACTGCTACCCCTCAGATTCACTCAAATTCATGGCCCATGGTGAAAAACCTAAAGCTGTGGGTTATGTTGGTATGGTGCAGCCACTGACCTGGCAGCAAACCCCCAGAGGCACCAGCCTTCAACCACCACTGCATAGCTGTCACGGTGCCCTGAGGGAGAGACGTGCAAAAGTCGGTGTGTCTCCCGAGGAACCAGGGACGCTGTGTTTCAGAGCTCTGTAGACTGGAAGATGGGATGGGAGCAGATCTGAAAGTGGAGATGGCCCTGATGAGTCAATAGCTGTGCACATGGAAAGTAGAAGCCAGTCGAGTCTCTAAAACCAAGACAGCATCATAGGTGAGCCTAAAACCTTGATGAAAGCACACAAGGTTGATTAGCAACAAAAATAAGATGTACAAAAAAAGTAAAAGGAAACCACACCAAATTTCAAGTCATTCCAGCTCCCTAGAGGCAGGAAGCGGCAGAGCCAGCCTCCAGAAGTTACAGTTGTGTGACTTTTCCTGAGGGGATGTAAACAACCATCTATTCCCGAGACAGGGCAGGGCACTGATGACAGACCAAAGAAAGGATTCTAACTCAGCCTTGTTAAATGAACAACTGAGCTGATTGGTGTGGCTTACAGGAGCGTGGAGGACTCAGAGGCAGCTGTGTCACCCACAGCCCACCTCAGTGGGTAGTGACTCAGGGAAGCTGCATTGCTGGAGTTCCCCTGTCTGACTTGCCCATTGGCAGCTTGAAGGCCCAACCCTACCCCTGCCCTGCCCGTCAATGACTGCCTTTATAGTTTGAGGGGTGCCTTGTGAACCCTATTGCTTTCAAGAGATTCCTGAGCCATGTAAGTGCTGGCTCCTTAGGCCCGGTATGTGTGGGGTAATTTCTCAGTTTAGTGCACCCTCCTCTGTGCGGCCATGTTTCAGTCTGAAGGAAATAGCAGCCCAGCACGGATGCTGTGGAGGACAGGCTCTGAGGGATGGGAGGAGACGCTACTGAGGTCCTCTGCTACCTGTGACTCTCTCAAGGAGCCAGACCCTGGAGAGTGCATGGATACTTCCTCTGCCTTGTGCCTCTTATCCACATCTGCTTCCAGATGTGGGGCACAAAGCGCCAGACCCAGGAGACAGAACGGAAGGATACCAGAAGTGCACAAGCCACGGCCGTGACAGGTTCAAGAAGCACCACTTCTAAGAGACACAACACCCCAACCAGAAGCAGCTTAACAGGAAGGGTTTGTTTTGGCTTGCAGTTGAGAGCGTAACTGGAAAGCTCAATAGAATTTCATGGCTAGAACGCCAGGCACCGGGGGAATCGGGACGCACTCTGAAGGTCCACCCACCTCAACAGCCTATGTTGTCCATGTAGGCCACACTTCCTAAAAGTTCTACACACTCTCACAATAGTGGAACTGGGGACCAAATGTCCAAATACACGAGTCTATGGGGGGCATTACATAGTCACTGATTCTAGCAATATCCATAGAGGGGGGATCCCCCTGGAGGTGCCTGCCTAGCCAGAGTGGTAACACAGAAGCCCAGGGGGGCTTCGTATACTGCAGCCTGTCCAGCTTACAGCAGCAGAGATACCACCAAAACTTCTGTCCTTTTCCCTTTTTCTTCTTTTTCATTTAAGGTTCTCACTGTGTATCCATGGCTTGCTTGAGACTTGCTATATAGACCAGGCTGGCACCATCCTCTGCTTTGTATCCATGGCTTGCCTGGGACTTGCTATGTAGACCAGACTGGCCCCATCCTCTGCTCTCTGCTTCCGAAGGGCTGGTATCAAAGGCATGTACTACCATGCAGCGGCGTAACCCTTCTGTATACTGTGAATACGTGTTGTTCTCATTGGTTGATAATAAAAGTTGCTTTGGCCTATGGCCAGGCAGAATATAGCTAGGTGGGAAAGCCAAGCCAAACACAGGGAGGAAAGAAGGGTGGAGTTGAGGGAGACGTGAGCAGCTGCCCTAAAAGCAAGATGCCAGCCGACTGGTAAAAGCCACGGCCGTGTGGCAATACACAGATGAATAGAAATGGGTTAATTTAAATGTAAGAGCTAGTAAGTAATAATCCTGAACTATAGGCCAAACACTCTGTAATTAATGTTAAGCCTCTGAGTGATTATTTAAAAGTGGCTGCAGGACAGAGAAACCTCCACTGGCACTACCACACCCAGCTTCTTTGATCTCATGATGCCAGGTGCACATTTATGCCCTAACCCAACGTATTGAAACCTGAAGAACTAGAAAGAGAGAGTCAGGACCTTTGCAAACACACTGCAGGGGAGACAGCTGCGGAGCCTGTCTCAACAGGAATGCCTCTCACCATGCACAGTAAATGCAGCTGAAATCCCAGTGTAGTTCATCTAGGGGAACAGAAACGAAACAGCTGCAGTGTCAGTGCATTGCCAGCTCCAAGCCTGGTTCCCTCCCTGCTATAGCCAGAGCAGTCTACATCCTGCAGTGAAGAGTAACCATCTCCTTGTCTGGAGCAACAAGTCCCCAGAGGCCTCCACTGTAACGAGTCTTTCTCTGTCCACCAGCCAGATCTCAAATCCAGACTTATTAATTATGAAGTCTTGGCCTTAGCTCAGCCTTGTTCCTAACTAGCTCTTACAACTTAAATTATCCCATTTATAATCATCTGTGTTCTGTCACATGGTGTTACCTCTCTTCCATCTTGTACCTCCTGTTTCCTCTCTGTGTCTCCTGGCATCTCCTGTGAGCCTAGATTCTCCTCCTCATCATTCCTCTCTCCGGAAATCTTGACTATTCCCCCTGCCTGGCTATTGGACATTCAACTTTTTGTTATGCCCATCACAGCAAATACATGTTCAGACAGTGTACAGATATCCCATAACACTCCATGCTGTTGTTAGAACAAGCTAAGCAGGGAGGCAAAGGCTGGTGACTCCCAGACAACAGAGATGCCAGCAGCCCAGAAAAGACAAGGTGGGAACCATGAGGCTAGGCAGGACATCTCTTCTAAAGTTCATCATTTCTAATCTTTGAAGTTAAGATGCACACCAAGGACAGCAAAAGCAACCAGCAGCCCCCACAGAAGGACATAGAAGATGGAAATGAAAAGAGAGGAAGAAGTGAAGTCTGAAAGGTTCTGTTTCGTGATGGCTGCGCAAAGCAGGGTTTGGGGGCCAGAGGCTAGGTGTGCCTATTGGAGGGTATGAAACACACCCTGGAAGCTAAGATGCCCAAGCCTCAAGGCTGAATTTCAGAAGAGCTCACCACACACCAGGGGAAGCTGACAGAAAGCTGTCCGCTGCACCTGGACAAGCCCCTGCCTGGTGGCTACTCAGATACTTGAGGTACCCCTGAAGCAGGAAACACAGGCTTTTGCCATAGCTTTCCTTTCATCCACTCCCTCAGTGGTTTTGAGGGCCCAGGGCATAGGGGCTGTGGCCACTGAGGGGCTGTGACAGCTCTTAGTCTTAAACTGATCAACTTCCTGCACGATTTGAATTTCAGGAGGCTCTTCCAACGTGACACTTGACATGTTCGTATTTTCTCATGCATGGTGGTGGTGTGTTCATGCTTAAAGATGGAGTCACACCCTGCAGTCGTTTACCAGAGCTGATAGTTACACTGAGGAGGTTACTTTTCGGGTTGACGTAGAGCCAGGCATAGATGTGGAGGTTTGATCCCTGCTTGTCTATACATGTAGGTGCAGAGGAGGTTCCCAGAACACGCAACCCAGTTTGAGATAAAGGGCAGGTGCCGTGGGCTGTAGGTGACAGTGACAGTTCGCTGCTTTGTTGTTGCTGTTGTCCGGTTGAAATATTTTAAAAGGTACATAAGTGCTTGACTGGCTGCTTAGCAGGCCCCAGGGATCCTCCTCGCTCCAAAACTGAGAATGCAAGCATATGCCCCCGTGGCTGGCTTTTTATGTGGGTGGTGGGGATTGAAACCAAGTCCTTGTGCTTACAGGGCAAGCAACTTCCATCTGACCCGCCCTCAAGCTTTATGAAATTATTGTACATTAATGTATTGGGCAATGCATTCCTTTGTGACATTTTACACACACTTGACAGGCACTGTCTTGTGACATGGCATCCTTCCCCTGCCTCTATTAAAGGGACAACAGCTAGCAGAGTGGCATCTGGGATTCTTAGCTAGTGTGCTCACCAGCCTCTGCCCCACACCTGTGTGCTTCCACGAGGTGATAAGCTCTCCACGATGGACACTCAAGGGAAAGGTCACTTAGTATCCCCAGGTGGGAATGGTGTGGCATTGGAAGGGAGGCTGCAGAGGTGCTCACTCTGAGGACTCAGGCAGTTTTTCCACATTTTTCATTATTATCATCATCATTATTATTATTGTGTGAGTATGTGTATATATGTGTGTGGCACACACATGTGACACCACATGTGTGGAGGTCAGAGGGCAACTCATGGGAGTCAGTTCTCTCCTGCCACCCTGTGGGTTCTGGGGGTTGAACTCAGGTCATCAAGCTTGGTAACAAGCACCCTCACCACCCTGGCCCTTCTTCGAATGCTAGTCCCAACCCTGGAACTCCAGCTTCTCCCTTAGACACATCCTATACCCTGAATCCCTCCTCATATGCCTAAAACTTTTTTTTTTTCAAGACAGGATCTCATGTATCCTATGGTAACAGTCATGTGCCACTGTGTGCTACTTTTTCTATGGGGGTGAGTGAGACAGTATCATCCCAGGGAAGTGCCTAAACCAACAAATTATCCTTCAGGCCATGGATGCATGCAGACAGGAATTCTTGGAAGCACAGAACCTGAGAAACGTGTGTGTGTGTGTGTGTGTGTGTGTGTGTGTGTGTGTGTGTGTGTGTTTGTGTATACACGCATGCATGTGTACACACACACAGATGATGAGGAGCCAGGCTGTATGATGTAGGACTGGATCAAGGAGCGAGCAAGGTTTAGCTGATCTTGATGGGAGGTCTGTCTAAGGGAGCAGTCTGCCCCTGCCCCTGCCCCTGCCCCTGCCTCTGCCCGACTCTCTGCTCATCCATCTCTGCCTCTTGGGTTCTCCTCTATAACCCTGCCCTGCTTGTCAGCCTCTCAGACCTGACCCCCTCCAAAAACTCTCCTAATGTATGCTGCTTTCCACAATCTACTACTAAAATTTACTACAGAAAAGGGCGGCTTCCAAACCCTGCTGGCAGAGGACACAACGGCTACCTTGAGTGACTTTCTTATTAGCAAAACCAGTTTCTCAACCAGACTCCTGGCTGTGACATCAGATCAGCAGTCTTTCTGTGATCTCTGCCTCCTCCTGCTCTGACAGCTTCCCTGCTAAACCTTCCCTTTTCTTTCTTCTTTCTGCTTCCACTCCTTCCCCTGCTGCCACTCTGCTCCACACGGCTGTCTGGCCTGGTTTGTAGTCACCTTTCCCCTTTCTTTCTCTTTTTGTGCAGGAGGCTTGTTTGAATACGTCTCTGCAGCCAACTACTTCGGGGAGATTACGGAGTGGTGTGGCTTTGCACTGGCCAGTGGGTCCCCCCAGGCCGGAGTGTTTGCCCTGTTCACATTCAGCGCATTGTTTACCAGGGCGAAGCAGCATCACCAGTAAGTTTGGAAAACACATCTTCACATCCACAGTTTGCTTTCGGGCCTCAGCATCACAGCTTCTAGGCTAGACTTTCATAACGATAACATCAATTTGAGTCACCAATCCCAGCTGCTTAAAGGAGAGAGCTGGAGGAGCAGAACCTTCAGCTTTCAGGGCGTGGGGCAGGCGTCCTCCTTTGTGCTGGCAGGTAGGTGTCTTCACATAAAGAGGAAATGACAGTTGATCAGAGAGTCAGGGACCACGTCTTTGTCACTGTGCTATTGGTGAGAAGCAATGCCATGACCAAGGCAACACTTACGAAAGAAAGCGTTCAACTGGGAGCTTCCTCACACTCTCAGAGGATTAGTTCAGAGGTTTAGTCCATTGTCTTCCTGGTGGCAGCATGGTGGCATGCAGGCAGGCCCTGGAGAAGTAGCTGAGAGCCACATTCTGTCTGTAGGCGGGTTGTGGGGGAGGCTGGACTTGGCATGTGTTTTTGAAACCTCAAAGCCCACCCCCAGTGACACAGTTCATCTTACAAGGCTACACCCCCCAATCCTTTCATATACTACTATTCCCTGGTGACTAAGCATTCAAGTGCATGAACCTATGGGGGCCATTCTTACTCAGACTGCCACAACCTGAAAATCCCCAGAGCTGCCAAGAAAGACAGAGGGCTATAAAGAAGTGAGGGCAAGCACCCGTGACAAAGGTGACTCACGTGGTCAAATGGCCAAGAAACAGTCAGGGTAAAGAGGGAACTCCTTGTTGTCTGTGGGATTGCCTAGTCCATTGACCTAGCTGCTGAGAGAGGAAAAGTAACAGCTTTGTCCCATTGAGATGGGAGGGACCTAAATTGGAAGTCTGTAATGGATTCTGGCTTGGGTATTTGATGGGGCCTGCCCCTTCCTCCTAGAGATAGTTCAGATACCCGCCCCTATGCCTGCCTGCTGTGTCACCTCACAATTATTCTGGGGACAAGTAGCAGCCGCCATTTGCTTTCCTACTCTACTTAAGTCCCTCTAACTCTTCTGCATTCCCCCATCTCAGAGATCAACACCTACTTCCATCAGGGAATAGGGTAATGGGTGCTGCAGCAGCTTCGTCCAAGTCTCCTGGTGGTACAGGTCTAAAAGAGAAAGAACTCTCATGAGGTGACTCTTGGTGCTGGTCCTGGTGGCTTTGATAACATTTTGGCAGGCAGTGTATCTTGGGCTCTTCCGGCAGAACCATCTATAGTAGCAAAGGGCCAGATAGAATGGAAAGGAGAATGCTGGAGGCCACTTTAGTAGAGCCCAGAGTAGCCCAGCCATTACTCAAAATGTCCCATATCCAAGGCTGCTCCTGAGAGTGATGAACCCTGGATCTACTTCCAGGCATGTTGGTAGCTGTCACCACAGTGAAAGGTGCCTCCGAGACAGACAGAAAGAGAGAGAGACAGAGACAGAGACAGACAGAGAGAGACAGAGACAGAGACAGACAGAGAGAGACAGAGACAGAGACAGACAGAGAGAGAAGGAATTTAGCCACTCTTTGATTATCAGGTTAAAACAATAGTGGACCTGTCTCCCTTGGCTTCATGTAGGTGCTGCAATGTTGAATTGATCCCAGTGTCCAGGGAGTATGATCCCCTAAAGTCCCAAGGAAAGCAGGCCAGTCACAGTTATACTCTGGCTGTCCCTTCCTGCTGGGTCTTTAGGATCAAACCTATGGCCAGAACCAGCTGACTCTAACTTTTGAGAGACAAGGCCACTTCAGGGCCTGGTTCTCGGGGACGATGGCATCAGAGGAGCTTCTTCCCCCTTTTTTCCTTTTAGCGCTTATTCCATCTATATGAAGATGAATCAGAATCAAAAGCCTCCCTTTTTTGTGGCTTCACAGAGGAGATCATTCCTCTTTGTAGACCAGACACTGGTTAGAGCTCACTGGATGGGGTCTCAAGGTAACCCACATACACACACACACACACAGTTACAGGACATTCTGAGACAGGGTAAGGGGAGAAATAGTCCCCCCTTCGTCTCTCTTACTACCTTAGCATATCCTCCAAGCATGGTTATTGAACACCCAGAAGATCAGTATACCAGCCTGGTACCCCTAGCTACTGTGTAATATTTAGCTAAAACTTGGACACTTCAGATAAAACTGAACACTTAAGTAAATTTTAATTTTTTTCTGAGTCAGTCCTTGTAATTGTTATGAACAATAGACCTGTAAACTCTATTGATCTGAGTAGAGGTTTGATATCAGTGTATTGAACTTTGACCTTTTGCACATCTGAGTTTCCTAGTAGGGTTACTATTGCTATGATAAAACACTGTGATGACCAAAGCAACTTTGCAAGGAATTCTTGGAACCAGTTTGCCCATCTAAAGCAAGCTGGGGGAGAGGAGATAGAGAGATTGTTGGTCACAGTCCCCTTTCGCCTATTTGAGTTCCTTGGCCACCTGGATGGGGATGTCCAGTCTTGTTACTCAGCAGGGAACGTCTAGTAGTCTAGTCTGTCCCCAACAGCAGGGAGTGGACTAGTACAGTCTAATCTGTCCCCAGGAGAGATCACACTAAGTAACAGGCTCTCCAGACCCTTCTCATGGCTCGTGCTCTGCCTACGCAGTTTCCTCCTTCAGTAAACCACACCAGCTCCAAGATAAGCCAGCAGCACATTTGCAGTATGGATTCATCAGCCGCTCTACCCCAGCTTCATTCACCTGTGTTCACGGAACCAGACAGAATGCCAGGTTCAGGAGGAGGCAGAGAGATGCCCACTCCTTAGCCCATTGATGTACTAGGGGAGCCAGGGAACCAAGATTTGGCTGACTCATCTTGGGACCTATCCCCGACAACTCAGAAACAATTCTTGACATCCTAATTCCAAGAGGGAAGAACCAGGTCACAGTCACAACCAGATCACAGCAAAACAGGAGTCCAACAGTGTAAACAGCTCATTACGCAGTATCTGGGACTCACTCACAGCCTCCTGGACTCTAAAGCGCTCAGACAGCTCTGCCTCATTGCCCCTGTGCAGTCTCTACAGCACACAGAATTCATCACATCTACTTGGGCCAGCCCTGCTCTAGAGCTGCTGCTGTCCCTGGTGGCCATTCATAGTTGCTGATGCTTCCTGCAGCTTTGTGCCACTGACAATAATACCATGTGGGAGACCTACACATTTGTGCTGACACACTCACAGAGGTCTCACCTCAGTGACACTGGTCTCTTATTGATCACTTGGATTCTGTGCCATTGGAGCCCAAACACTTACTGTCCCAGGGGAGGTTATAGAGCACCTGGGTTTCCACCACACTAGTCATAGTTGGGGCACTCCTTGCTTAAGGGGGACCTTGGAATACCCAGTGGGTCATGGTCACTTCTGATGCTTCTCAGTTTTCAGTTAGGTATACAGATGTCTTCTGCAATCCCGGACAAGAGACCCCGAGAAATGAGGGCAACAGGTGTTGTCTAGGGGATTGCCACGTTTAACCCCTGGCACAAACAATGAATTGAACACCTGGGGAAAGATAGAAGGTCATGAACATTCACATTCAGGATGGAAGAAGTCTAAGGCTGGAAGTCTATTAAGTGAACACTGGCTTGGGTGTTCGGGTCTAGGTCTCCCCCTTCCCTCTATTGGTCCTCTCCAGATACCTGCCTCCACTTCACGAGGCTTACTTCCACCTCCCAGGTTTGCTCGAATCCCACTATCCTTTAGTCAGAAACGGGGTCACTGTGGTGACTGAACTCTACTGGAAGGCAGAAAGTTCTGATCCCAGCCCCCGAGCTGCTGCTCAGTCACAGATTCATGTGACCACATGAGACGAGGTCATACTGGAACTAGGTGTGGCCAAGCCACCATAGGGGGGATGCTTATTAAATTTGGGAAGTGGCAGAGTTGCATACCCAGAAGAGGGCGTCATGTGGAGACAGAGATAGAAAGGCCAGGCAGCCAGGGCCACCAGGGGCAGGTGGGTGAAGGCCTTCAAAGGGAACATGTCTGTCACAGCTACCTGCAGTCAGGCTTGTAGGGGAGGATCTCATGCTATTGAGTTCTGGCACTTTGTCAACGCCTACAAAAAAAAAAAAAAAAAAACGGACACATCAAACTTCAGCCATTTTAAATTGACCGAGCCTTCAGGAAGTAACGGCCACGAGTTTGACCTCTGAAGGCCCCAGATTTCTCTGCGAGGTGGCCTGAAGTAAGACTAGATGGAGACAGTGTCCACTGCAACCTAAGTGCACATAACCAGGCACTTAACTGGGCCTGGTGGAGTCCGGTTGCTCAGTCCCAGGCTGAAAACGTGCACAGGGACCACGGCCTCTTCTGCTGTCTTCTCACGCAAGCTTGTTGCTGTTCTTTGCATCTGCGGTGTTTGATAGGACAACTGAATGGTGGCTTGTCTCTAATCAGACAAATGAGCACCCCTGCTTTTGAAAACTGGATTGGGAGAAGACCAAACAAGAGGTGGCTGAGTCCATTGTGGAACACTTTCCTCTGACAAATCAGGGACCGAGAAAGTCCCTCTCAACACCTGAATGTGAAACACGGGAAATGAATGATCCCTGAGTTTTCCGAACAAGAGCCTTACTAGTGAAAAAAATCCCAAGGTGTTTTGTGTTGCCAGGGAAACCAGGGTCACTGGGCTCTCAGTCTCATCAATAACAACATTGAAAGGTGGCATCAGGAAGAGCTGGGAGACAGTGTTACTAGGGTTTGAGAGAAAGCCATAGGGCAGCTGAGGTGTGCGGCAGCTACTTGGGGGTGGGGAGGACATGGAGGACAGGGAAAAGAGACCAGCATGCAGTGGGAGCCAGCAGCCATGGGAGCCTGTGAGCAGCTTACATGGCAGCTGGCAGCAATAGAGTGCAGGTGCCTGAGAGAACAGGCTCGAGCTTTGACCGGTATCTAAAAGAAAGAAAAGAAGAAAAAGGAAGTCACACTTTTAAACTCTGCCAAGGGGGCACATTTAGTAGAGCTGCGAGATGGCGTAGCATCAGCAACTGCACCGAGGGCTGGATTTCTCAGAGGGGAAAGTACATTGTCTCATTGAGGTTTAATTATTCCTCCTGTCTCTTTAACACGACTTTTCGTGAATGTGGCTTCCTGAGGGTCCCTTGGCCAGGGGACTAAGAAGAGGAACTTTTTAAATGAAGGAGTCATCGGTATGAACTGTTCTACTCACTGGAGTAGATCAGAATGGAAGGCCAGCTGTAGATTCCGTTCTGACTAACAGGATGAACTTTTTAAATGAAGGAGTCATCGGTATGAACTGTTCTACTCACTGGAGTAGATCAGAATGGAAGGCCAGCTGTAGATTCCGTTCCATTGGCTTTCTCAATGGGCCTCAGCAGCCTCTACCGTAACATTTCGTCCCTTAAGAAAAAGGAGCTTAAAATATCTTAGAAAGTGGGCTGGAGTTGGGGGGTACGTGTAATCAGTGTAATCATGTCCATGTCCATCCACCATGAAAGAACTAGCATCTGAACCAGAGTTTGCATTGCACCTCCCTGAGAGACTCCAGGCAGGGCACTCAACCAAGAACAAAGACACCAGAGCGCCCCCTTCTGGCCAGAGGACTGAAGCTCTGCCTTGCTTCTGACCAGGAAGGATGGCCATTGGAGTTCCTGCCCCTAATCTATCTAGCCTGGTCCTGTCTCAGGTCTGCATCATCGACTTTCAGGGTTGAAAGTGCTTTTGTCACCAGTTCTTTAAATCCTAAAGAACAATTCAGTTCTGTGGAGGTATAGTCAAGAAGTTATTGGCCTTACAAGCTGAGGACAAAATAAATAATAATCCTTTTTCACGATCTTGTTATGTTACTTTGGCTGGTCTGGAATTGAAAATCCCATTTCCTCAGCCTCTCAGGTAGCTAAGAGTATAGGCATGTAGTGATAGAGTTAGCATATACATAATTTTTTAAACAACCCAGTAAACCCAGCAACTAAACTATCAGTTGAGTTACTCAGAAGGAGACGCTTCAAAGAGCAACCCCTAGGTGTGTGTTCACTGATGTTAGCAAAATAGCATTGGCTGGCAGTGGAACTGTAATGACAGCTCTGGAACTTCCGTTTATAATTGCTCCTATTGATGGTCATGCCCCAGGCCTCTAGCTGCTGTGTTTGCTAACAAGTGTAAAACTTAAAGAGATTTAAGGGGAGGCTGCCTCCTGTGGGAGCCTGAGCAGCCATGCTTACTTAGCAAAGTACTGAGTGTCCGACAGATCACAACTCCCCATGAAGTGGCAGACTAGATTACACTAGATTACAGACCTGTGCTCATTCTCGGGAGGGGGGGGAGCCTGAGCCTGAAGATCAGCCATAGAGGAAACCAACTGAAAGAGTGTAATGTTTAACCTATTTATTAAGTTCCATGTCCCTTGTAAAACTACCTCAGTGTGTCCTGGGGACATAGTGATGAAATTTTTGTAGTAGTGATTTAGAAAAAGGAAGATAAGAAAGAATGTGTTTGTGGATTGCTGGCCTTCCCCTCTATAGACTTGTGGCACAACTAGGCTCCTTGGTTTCCGTTCTTAGTCTACCGGTTTCATGATCAGCCTCTCCAGCTGACTGCCTGTGTGGATGCACTGAAAATACGTGTTTCAAGGGAAGAGCTGAATTGTGGGCGTTACCCAGTTGTGTGTTTTGGTACATGTCAGCATCCCATCCAAAAGGAAAAGTGAATTATCCAGGTCACTTCTGAGACACACCTCAGACACTTGAAAGTGACTATAATACGAATAAATGGCAAGACCTTATTGCAAACAAAATACAAAAAAAAAAAAAAAAAAAAAAAAAAAAAACTTAGGGCTGACAAGATGGCTTAGTAGGCTAAGGTGCTTGCCACCAAACCTGAGATTCTGAGTTCAATCCTGGGTATCTATGTAGCAGAAAGAAAAAAAGAACCAATTCCCAGAAAGTTGTCTTCTGACTGCCATACATTTGCCACAGTGTATATGTGTGCATACACATACACACACACACACACACACACACACACACACACACATATATATATATATATATATATATATGGCTAGTTATTTCTTGCATAATCACTTTCATTACCATCTTCTAAGATGCTTAAATGGCAGAATGAATTTGGTTTTTAAACCCTTTTTTCTCTCATTTTAGGTGGTACCATGAGAAGTTTGAAGATTACCCCAAATCAAGAAAAATGCTAATTCCATTTGTGCTTTAGCTGCTGTCAGTGGCATTGCCTTGGAAGAAATTCTTCCTCATGAGGCTCTCTGGACACTTAAAAATGAATTGTTTTCCTTAATTCTCCTGCAGCTCCATTGTTTTCAGGAAGGGTGTTTTAATGCCCTGGTACAGGAGTAAGCAGATCATAAACCAATCCCACTGTGTGCTGTTGCCAGGCCAGGAATGAGGAACACTGGATCATTGCAGCTAAGGTGTCTCTGGCTCCAAATGTGCCTCTTTGGGGTTTAGATTTGTTTGTTTTAAATTTTTTTGTTTTGTTTTCATTTTTTGCTTTTTTCAAGATAGGGTTTCACTGTGTAGCCCTGGCTGTCCTGGAACTCACTCTGTAGACCAGGCTGGCCTCCAACTCACAGAGATCTGCCTGCCTCTGCCTCCTGAGTGCTGGGATTAAAGGCATGAGCCACCACCCATAGTTTGTGTATTTTTGACACAAGGTCTCCCAGTGTAGACCAGGCTGGCCCTGAACTCACAGGGTTATGTGAGGCTTCTTGCATAAAGGTGTATTTGTCTCCACCTCACCAGTGCTACCAAACCTGGCAGTGTCTCTGGGTTCTGTGTCCCAAAAGTGTAAGAAGAAACAACGGACCCCAACACCTCTTACAACTAACCGACCCTGCAAGGAATGCAGGCAGGTCAGCACCCTGCCTCCTCTGTGCATGTGTGTTCTGCCTGCTCAGACCTGGCCAGAGAGGCCTGTCGATGTGGGGATAGTCACAGCCCAGAAGAGATCACAGTCTGCTGTCCTTTGCGACACCTGCTGTACAGTGGGGGTCTTGAGCCATTTGACCCCAAAGGCTGGGAAAAGACCTCTTTCACTTGTTCCCACTCAGCTCTCTAGGTGAAGTGCTCCTGTCAACATGCTGTGTCCCCAGGAGAGGTGGGACAATAGAGTGTATCCACTCACTCACCGGCCCTGCTTTTGCTCTTCCTTTGGGCTAGGCAGGACTAGAATTCTTTAAGGCACTTTAAAAACATATTTTATCATTATAAAACAAAGCTGCAGAGCAGAATCTCTTATTTTGAATGTACCCAAAGACCAGTCATGGCACACACCTGAAACCCCAGCACTAGGGAGGCTGGAGTGAAAGGAGGGAAAACTCAGGGCTAGCCTGGGTTGTGTAGGGAGACCCTGTCTGGAAAAAACAAAAACAAAACAAACAAACAAAAACAACTAAAAAACCAGTACCAATTGGTAATAGTCCAAGGAGATGGCTGCAGTAATTAAAGACAACGCCCACCCAAGCACCAGCTTGGGAGAGAGGTCTCCTGCCAGGACACTGACTCCAGTGTAGCTCTTTGCAGTCTGGGGACCACTTGTGGAGAGCCATCTCCACAGGACAGACCAGCACTGCCCCAGGGCAATGCATTCACTACCGCCCCTTGTCATTAGGACAAGTGGTGGGACAGTATGCTCTTTGACCCCACTAAAGATGCTGCAGTAGCACCTCCTGGCACACCTCATGGTGTACACAGTGGCCCCCACCCACCTTTCCTGCAGGTACCACCTTCCATGCCCCCAACACCCGCCTTCCCCAGGTCCACCTCTGGGTACCCAGCACCCACCTTCCCTGTGTTCTTCCAAGCTAGCCTTCCCAGCAGGGCTTCCTCAGCTCTTTTGTTCTCACACACAAACCACTCTCTGTGTGTCTGGTGTGCAGAACGACCAGAATCGACACAGAAAACTTCACAGTATGGCCGTTCCGTTTTAATTTTAAAAAGCAGTGTTTAAAGGGGGTGGGGAGGAACATCACCATAAGTAAGTCCTCCGCCTTCCCTTTATCTTCTGACCGAACAATTGCTTGAAAACTCGAAGCACTAAATACGGTAGCTCTCCTTTCAATACCTCAGAAGCAAGGCCTGCCCTGGTGTGTTCTGGGAAGTTCACGTGGAAGGAGGTACTCAGCCGAGATCCTGGGGATGTTTGCTGCGAACTTGACCTCCCTTGGAGGAGGGCAAGATGCCACAATAGAACCGAGGTCTCTGGGTTGCCAGACAGATGCCCTGACACTGAGCCACACATTAACCCTGTGGTACATCTTTGTTCATGAAGGACCAAGCTGCCCACAGGCCTGGTGCTTGCTCCACCCACATGCTGAGGGAGAGATCGGTTTAGAAGGAATCCCGGCCTAACATTCCACTCTACTCCATTTCTTAAAACTCTCACTTATGTAAACTGTGATTATTAAGGAAATTAATAAAACTACAGTTCCAAGTCCAGTCGTATTGTTTGTCTTGGTGGTTGGTTGGTACCATCACCTATTTAGCGTTCAGCCCTGGAAGCTGACTTCTTTCCCAGTGTTGGATGGTCCTTTAATATCCTCGGTGAAGTTGCATAAACCATGGGACCCTTTTATGGTTTTTTTTTTTGTGTGTGTGTGTGTGTGTGTGTGTGTGTATGTGTGAGTTTAATACTAGGAAATGTCATCCTGGTTTGTTTTTGTTGTTGCTGTTTGTTTGTTTGTTTGCAGATTTTTTTATTTGAATTAGAAACAAGATTGTTTTACATGACAATCCCAGTTCCCTCTCCCTCCCATCCTCCCCTGCCACCACCCCGCCCCAACTAAATCCCTACTTATCACATACCCTTTCTGCTTCCCCTGGATGGTGAGGCCTTCCATAGGGTGTCATCAGAGTCTATCATATCCTTTGGGATAGGGCCTAGGCCCACCTCTGTGTGTCTTGGCTCAGGGAGTATTCTTTTATGTGGAATGGGCTCACACACACTTGACAAAAATCTTTACAAACAAATGATTATATAGTTATGCTAAAAAATCTCTAATTTTACTTTTAGGATTATTTTTGATCTAGAGATTTTTTTTAAAGATAATATATTTGGAAGAATACTTTTTTACTTTTCATCAATTTGGAGTGTGTTGCTTTATTTTGTTTTGAGACAAAATTGTACTGTGTGTTCCAAGCTGCCCTGAAACTCCATCCCCCTGCCTCAGTCTCCCAACTGTTGAAAGTATAGGTATGTGCCACCATGCCCAACTCATTTAGTTTTTTACACAAAAGGATTTTTTTATCTTTTTTTTGTGTGTGTGTTTATAGATTATTTTTTGCAAGTTTTCTTTGTGGCTTTTGGGTTTTCTTGATAACCTAAAGGAAGTTCACATTTCACAGCAATAACAGGACAATGTGTTAAAGTGTATCCTATCTGGTTCTGTTTTTGTTGTTAATACAAACATTAAATTTTCTTTATAACTGATTTATCTCCCATGTTTAGTTCTCCTTGTATTTCTGATAATGGTCTTGCTTCATGTGAATGAGTCTGTGCCTCTTACCAACTTAAACTTCGTCCTCCTCCAGCTGACTGCTTCATTACTTAAAGTCTGCTTTGTCCAGAACATGGCCACACTGTCTTCTTGGTAGATACATTCGTCTTATATCCATCAGTTGGGGTTTTTTTGTTTGTTTTTGGTTTTGTTTTGCTGTTGAGCTTTTAGATGGCACTCATTTTAGTCCTCTTTAACAAGTGGATTTTACAAATAATAAATTAGTTCACATTGTCTTACTAATCACGGCACTGGGATATTTCTTTAATCATCTTATTATTTTTAAAGGTTTATTAGTATTTCATGTGTATGAGTGTTTTGTACAAATGTATGCTTGTATACTGTATGTGAGCAGAGCCCAAGGAGGCCAGAAAATGGGGTCAGTCCCTGGAACTAGAGTTACAGATGGTTGCTAGCTGCCATGCAGATGCTGGGAATCAAACCTGTGTCCTCTAGAAGAGCAGTCTATGTTCTTAACCGCTGAACCATCTCTCCAGCCCTCTTATTAAAACTTTTTTTTCTCTTGCTGTCTATAATGATTTGGAAAAAGAGACTTCCTTTAAAAAAAAAAAAAAGACAACTGAGCCTGGCCTTTAAATTTTAGAAGTGCCTTCCACAGTGTCCAGGCACAGAGGTCAGCTCAGCATGTGCTCTTAACACATTTCCTGGTGTACAAGGACTTGGGGAGTTGCTCTTCAGCACCTGTAGGAGGAGGCGGCAGGTGAGGAACCACCCAGATGTGTGCTTGCTCTGTGGCATAGCAGATCCTGGCCCCCAGGGTACAGCCCAGTGAGGTCCTCCTAGCTGTTGACAGACCAAATTCCATGCTCTAATGTGGAAAGAGTTTCGTGAAGATTTGTAGTTTTACAGAACAAAGGTCATAGATCAAGGGAAATTCAAAATACATAGGTGGTTACATCAGAGAGGTGGTTACAGAAAGATGGAGGAAGCTTTGCCATAGGCCCAAGATGCTTTCTAATGGTATTCTTAGCATTTGAGTTGGTGGTCTGCTAAGCTAATAGATTTCAAAAGGGTTTTATTCCTGAGTCACAGGATGCCAGTTATAACACAGAGGTGGTCAAAGAATGGCTATTCTGGGGGCTAAGGCTAGCCCGAGATAAGGTAATCAGCTTCTGGACCTGCGATATTCCACCCTCTCCACATCTCTGTAGTTGTAATCAGTTAGTCTTATCAGGTATGGTTTCTTTCCACAACTTGGGACACAGATGTCACATATCCAGGTGTCACATGTCCAGGGGCCACATATCCGGGTACCATGTGTCCAGGCGCTCACTATGTGCTCACCTGAGTCTCAGGCACCTGCCACGTGGTTTCACACTGTTCTTCCATGGCCTCAGTAGCCTCAAACATAATCACCCTGCTGCCACTCAATTACTGCCCACATGTCTCCTCAGAGGGACAGCACATGTAGAAGAAGCTCTGGCCCAAGACTTAGCTCTGTAGTCTCACATCTGTGTAGGGTTGATAGGGTCACCTCAGGTAATGAAGGCATAGGCACTTGTGGCAGTTGTAAACAGTAAATGCATATGTGATCAGACATTCAGAATGGCATGTGCACTGTTGCTGGAATGTCTGGATTCTCATTGAATGTGCCACAGCAGCGTACTTCATTCTGTATACCCAGATACTTTGGGTTTCACCCACTTACAACAAAGTGTGCTCTGCTGACGGGTAGTCCTGGCTCACTGATTCCTTGCTTTGAGCCCACAGCCACATTTGTTCCCTTATTTCACAGCATAAGAGTGTCATTCTTCTTGCGGAG